AATATAAATTACTTCGTTATTGTACATAAATTAAATTATAAAAAAATTGAATTAAAAAATTACACAAAAAAAATGAAGAATTTCAAATAGTTAATTTGATACTAATATCGATATATTTTTGTCAAATTTTATTGATATCTTCAAACATATATTTTATTCAAAAATAAAAACATCATCGATTTCTCAAAATCACATAAAGTATCGACTGAGATAAAAAATAAAATGAAATATTAAAATCATGATGTATCTCGCTGCATTGCGCGAGTACGCTTCTAGTATATATATAGAGAGAGAGACGAAGGATCGTGTGAGAATAAGAGTTAAGGTGAGAAACCTAAGAAGCAATCTTGACCCTTGATCACTTTTAATCTCACCCCCACCCCATGAATTGCGCTTGATACGGGAATTGATCCGGTGCATCTCAGTGCATCTCATTACTGTTGATCTTCAATTAGGATTGATCCAAGGGTGGAGATCCGTTCTTACCTTTCTCACTATAACTTCCATTTTTATCGAAACTCAACCCTATATAGCGTGTGTGTGTATATATATATATAGAGTATACAAGTAACTGACGTTGTTTCTTGGTTTCTATCACGTGTGCATGTTATGCACATGTGCATACCAAACAAATTCCTTACATATTACTTGTATGCACATGTGCACACCGTCCAGACGAATGGTTACCAGAGTGTTACTCAATTTTTCAATTTTTTGTGGTTTTCCTCAACTTGACCCTATATATATATATATATATATATATATATATATATATATATATATATATAAATATCATCTTTTTCTTGATTGCTTGATGAATGCTTTTTAAGTATATATATAATATTTATATACGACATACTTCTCACCTTTGGTGAGGCTTGAACCCTTGACCTCCAGGGAAGTTGGGAGCCTCCACTAACCCGGGTAGGCGGGTACTGCTGGGCCAATGACCCTTTGGTAGCTTGACGATTTCTGTGGACTTGTACCATTTTGCTTGTCATTCAACTTGCATTATAGAGACATTTTGCAGACGATATTTAGTGCATCCATTGTACATATAATTGATGTTCTATGTCGTGTTCTATTTGCTGGTATTGCAGAGTGGACTTGATGATGAATCTTTTCAGAATTTTAAAAGCGGGTTAATCGCAAAGCTGCTAGAGAAAGATCCTTCTCTCGCTTATGAAACAAATAGATACTGGGGACAAATCATAGACCAGAGGTAAATGTTTTTTGCATTTGATACAATATATTTCTAATTAGGGTTATGGTTCTGATACAGTAAAAGTTTGCAAATTGCAAGCAAGTGCGTATAAGCTGCTGTTTTTCTTTTGAAATCTTTCCATAAATGACAACTGATGGTGCTAACTTTAAGGGCGATACTATGTATGACGATGGAGAGAGTTTGCAAATTTACTCCCTCCGTTGCAAAATAGATGTCCACAATGAAAACGGAATGTGTAATTATTACACTTAGTTTAAGTAAAGGACAATTTTTCCTTAAATAGTAAAGAGACAATTTTTCCTTAAATAGTAAAGAGACAATTTTTCTCCATCTGTTAATTAAGGATAGAATGGGAAAGTGGACATATACTTTTGAAAGTGGACAGTTGTTTTCGGACAGACTAAAATAGAAATGTAGACACTTATTTTGTGATGGCATGGAGTAATTCTCTTTCTAAAATCTTTCCAAAAGAGGCGATTCATGGTGCTAACGTTTATGATGGTACTATGTATGACAACAGAGAGAGAGAGTATGCAAATTGCAAGCAACTGATGACACTATGTCTATCTAATTTTCTTTCTTAAATCTTTCCAAAAAAGGCAACTAATGGTGCTAATATTAATAATGATACTATGTATAACAATGTATAAGTGGGAGACCTGGACAGTGTGAGACCCATTGGAGACACCAACTTTGTTAGGTAACCAGAGCCCCTAAGTTAGGGCCGTTTACCAAACGCTTTCCAGTAAGCGCTGACTAAGTTAGACTAGGGGGGCCGTTTACCAAACGCTTACCGGTAAGCGCTTACTTGCAAGAGCTAGTACCCTCATTTACCTTATTGGGTAAAATTCTCGGCCATTAGAATGGATTATTGGTAAACTTTGTTTACCTAGTAAAGATTCTCGGTTCTTGCCATGCTTCTTACTATATAACATTTTTGGTCCTTGTCATGTTTACCCAGTAAGGTCAGTGACACGTAAGCTTTTGGTAAACTGCCCCTAAGAGGGTGCAAATTCTTTACTTTGTTTTATATTTTTCTTGTTAATGCGCATATTTATATGTTATTTCTTACTCATAACTAGCTTTTCAGAATTGATCTTATATGCATCTCTCTTTCGAACAGTTTTCACAAGCCGCGAGACTTCACACAAGCAGACGCTTTACTCTTTGAGGTAGAGGCCGTCTGCTTGCATCTGATTCTTACCCCTCCCCGACCCCACCTCCGGGTGGGATATATAGGGCTCGTTTGGTTTTTAACTTCGTTGAACCACTGAAGAACACCTACCCCATCCTTTCTTCATAAACACTACATTACTAGTGAACTACAAAAACCATATTAACTTGCATTTGGTTGTCAATAGATAAGTTACTTAAATACCTCCTCCCTTTGTTAAAGTACATCCATCTTCACTAAAGATGGCATGTGAAAAGCTTATAACATTCTTTAGGGGTATTTTGGTCAGATCCATTCTTCATTATGTTACATTATTTAACCAATTTCGCATTCCTTGGGGGTGTATTTGGCACATGGAATAGGACAGATTCAAAACTTCTTGTCTCACGTTTGGTATAACATTAGACTAATACAAGACAATGATTGAGTGGGACAAAAATGCACCACCAAAATAGATTGAATATAAATCAAAGATATGAGATTGGAAATTACTAAACTACCCATGTCAAAATTAAATCCTAAAATCTTCCACAGGTCTTTCATCTGTCCCTCTTGTCCTATCTAGTCCCGTCTACATATGAAGCACACCCTTGGTCTATTTAACCATTAAAGCACCATCTACTTTCAGGTATATGTTTGACTTATCTGCAAAAGAAGCTGAAGCAGTCAAATGCCTTGAAAAAAGCGATGTTACCGAGTGGTACAACACTTACCTGAGGAAATCATCTCCAAAGTGTCGAAGGCTCGCGGTTCGCGTGTGGGGATGCAACACCAACATAAACGAAGCATCGACCTCCGTTAAGGTAATCAAAGACCTTATTCCTTTCAAGGCGTCATCAAAATTCTACCCTGCATTTTGTTAACACATTCGAAAGCCGGTTCTTTTCGGCGTATACGACTAAAACCACTTTGAGAACCCTGGTTTTAATGAGAAAATTTAAGCATAGGATTTTTAGATGAATAAAGATTTCCAATTCAAAGTGTCACTAGAAATATTTTTTATTATTTGTGTATCTTAGAAAAGGGAAAGAAACACCATGCCTTTGATTTTAATTGAAAAACAAAATGTTGTTTTTTTATTTTCCAAGCTTGGTCTATTATTCTCATAGCTTCCATTTTAATATTTTATGCATGTATGATATCCCATGATATACTTGATTTATGAGCTCTCTTATGTTACTCCAATTTTTCTCATACTTTTGTACAAGCTGAGGGTCAAATATTCTATCTTTTTTGGTAGAGGACAAGTTTGCATACAACTTAGCCTCTTAGACTATGCTTTCGAGTGGGATATACTGTGATTGTTTTCGTTTGGTTTGGGCTAATTTATGAAGCTTAACCGATTTTGTTAGGGTTTGGTGTTATTCTATCTTTTCAATAACAAATATTCTATCTTTTGGGGTAGAGGACGGGGGTGCGTACAACTTAGCCTCTTAGACCCTGCTCTCGAGCACGATATAGATATATTGGGATTGTTTCCGTTTGGTTTGGGCTAATTTATGAATCTTAATCGAGATTGTTAGAGTTTGTTGTTATTGCCAAGTTCCCCTACAAAAAGATCTACGTAATGAGATTCTATTCGTTTAACCTTCTTTTTTGTCTTACGCTTTCACAAGCTGGGGGGTTTTTACGAAAGCAACTTCTTTACTTTACTTTTCGAGTTAGATGACATGTTTGCTTACATCCCGACCCTAAAACATCTCTGAGTGGGCTTTACTAGGCTCTTTTGATGGGTTATCTAGGGGTATGATGACTTTAAATGAGTGTTTAATTAGATCAATGACCTTCTGTTCTACTGAAAAAATCACTTCATACTATTGAGAAGGGTATGGATTTAAGTAGAATCTCATTTAAGGTTCTATACCATATGTCCTTTTTTTTGGTTTTATTCTTTTTTGCATAGTTATTGAAATGTGACTAGGATTTTTGTTACAAATAATCCTCAAATTTATGAGCTTTCTTTCTTCTTTTCGGTCCTCCATTTCTATTACAGATATTCCGTCTTTTTTAGTAGATGACAGGTCTGTGTATAACTTAGCCTCTTAGATCCACCACTCGAGCAGTATACACTGGGATTGTTTTTGTTTGGTTTGGGCTAATTTATAAAGCTTAAGCAAGATTGTTAGGGTTTGTTGTCATTTTATCTTTTTGGATACAAATATTCTATCTTTTGGGGGTAGAGAACGAGTCTGCATACCACTTAGCCTCTCAGACCTTGCTCTCGAATGGGATATATTGGGATTGTTTTGATGTTAAACATCGAAGATGGTAATTCGATTTAATGTTATTTAAGTAGTTCGAACATGGAACACGTATGTAGGGTAAGGATTAACATATACACAATCTTGTATCTATCGAAAATGAATATTAAATAAATGATTTTTTTAAAATAAAATAAAACCGTATTTTACAGTAAAAGATTATCAAAAAAATACCAGTTATTATTGGCCCCTATAGCTGTAGATTTTCAGCAAACAGAACCAGGTTTAAGACCGGTTGCTATTTTAAAATCCCTATTGAGTTATTATTATTTGAATCCAACTTAACCCGATGAATCCGATATTTTTTCGTTTTTTGGATTTAATATGATTGTTTAATTTCTATATACATATTAAACAATTACATTATCACGCACGTTCTTCATATACACATATTTTCAATCTATTTACATCTCTATATAATTCATTTGTATATATGTTCAGTAATTATGAACATATATATGTAAATCGAGAAAAATAATATGGATAAGTTGTATCAAATGGTTGATGATGAAAAATAAATTATGAGTATAAAAATAACATATTCAATGTTAGAAGAATATTTTAATGTACCAAAGTATCAACCCGACCAACCGACTAACCCGTACGGTTTGGGTTGGGTTCAGTTGCACTTTGGTTTGGGTTAAGTTTTTTCAAATCGCAAACATTGGGTTGAGTTGTTCAAATGTTTTCAACCTGATCTACCCAACCCATGAACACCCCTGGTGCTACATATGTGATTGAATTTGTGGTACAAGTGACCATCATCATTGGAAAACCGGAGAATATAGTAGCATATCGAAATTTAGGTTTGAATTAATTATGGAACACAAATAAATCCTAACTTTAAAAATATTGAAATTAAATTGAATTTTTAGTGTTTTGCACTGTATTTTAGCAACTAGAATTATTTACTTATTTTTTTATATCACGACGGTAACCAGTTTGTGTTATAAGAGAAAAACCATCTGGATCCACCGTTAATGCTAATGAAACAAATAGCTGTTTATATATGATTTCACAGTTAAAAGTTAAAATCTTCATAAAGAATTACATTCAACTTCAATAATTTATCTGAAGATTACAACATTAATTATATTACTAAAACATTTAATACAATAAATAAAATATTTTTTTATCTCTTTTAAATATTTAATTTTAAAGATTCTTACCTGTATCAATAATAAACAAAAACAATTTCTCTCTCTTAGGTATGAAAAGTTTTCCATTTTAGAAAAGATTTTGAAGAATCTATTAAAAATATTATCAGTGTTTTTTGAAATTAATCAATGCCTATGTAAATTGATAGAAACTGATCAAATTACCTACAAATATCAGTAATAATAAATAATGGATTTTTAATGGGGTAGGCTAAATTTACTGATTTTCTCCTCATATACATCAACATCAAAACTTCTTACATTCTCAACGCATGATTTAAACTGATTATGATACATTCTCAATACATGATTTAAACTGATTATGATACATTTTCAATGCATGATTTTAACTGATTCTGATATAAAATAGAATACATATAATATTTCCCCTTTTAACATGTCATGAGAATACGCAAAATCAAGTACGATCTAACACATGAGTATGACATGTAACATGGGTGGGACCAACTTGATCACTCCATATCTTGGAACATCATGTTATTAATGAGTTTTAAACTCATAATTATTAAATTTAAAATATTAATTACAAAAATCAAATGTTAATATTTTTTTTTCTTTTAAGTATACAATATATTTTATATACGGCAAATGCAATAAATAAACTCACACATTCTCCTCACCATCAGTAAGGTTTCAATTTCTGACCTCTTAGAAGGAAAGATGCTCAGATACCGTTAGGTCAAAGGCACTTTGGTAATATTTTCTTATTTTTTTTACATTTGATTTTTTTATTAACCTGGATATCCAACCTGTTATTCGAATCAACTAATCTCAAGACGACCACTTACTTTACGGGTAGTTCGTAGTCACTGCATTTGAACCTCTGTAATCACAAGTGGATTTTTATTTCTCATTGGATTTGAACATAGAAACTCCAAACATTTTTGAAATTATTTTTTTATTTAATTTACTAAAAAAAAATGAAAGATTCCATTTGCTCTCTTGATTGAACCCAAATCAAGGCTTTAAATTATTTTGAAAGAGACGATTAAATCTAATTTTAAATTGAAAATCCACTTATTAAAAAAAATTGGCATAAAATTAATATTTATTTTATACACATCTAATTTTTTAAATATAATAATATTTTACATAATAATAAAACCAGATAAATAAATGAAAATATGACGTACTGTAAATTTAAATATCTTTACTCAACGTTAATTACTGTTTTCTTTTCTATTTATATAACATATTATGTTTGTGATTTTGGTGCAGTTGAGATCGACTTGAGATAGATAACAATTCAAGATTCAGTATTATTAAGACAAGTTTAGTGATGCAGAGTGTGTGCCTGTATATGCCGTCTTAAATCTTAGATCACTGTATAGCGGGGCTTAAGGGAGTTGCCCCCCTTACGAGATTCTATGGACGGTGCCCCAGCTGCTTTGCCCCTTGGCCATACAACTCCCGACTCGAAGTTGTATACACTAAGTAACAATTCGAAGTTGTATACACTAAGTAACAATTCGAAGTTGTTTTGTCTCGTTTTATGTACAGACATCAACAACCTTACCGTTGAATACTCGGGTTTTTGTTTTAAAACGAGATTGAGATTTTGGTTTATCCCCATACAGATATCGTGGAACCCAAAATTTTAACGGTCGAAATATTATATTTGTAAGGTGATATCCTACACACAATCCAAAGTCGTATCCAAATAATTACTGCCACAAACATATTTTTCTAACGTATCGATTATCTGGGCAAAAATTGATTACCAATAACTCTAAATATCCCATATGGAACCTGTCTTCAAAGACACCAATGAGAGTGAACATCTGTTGGCTCGCTTTGCAACTGAAGCTAGCACGCGCGCACCCGGGGGGTGGGGGGTATCGAATGCGGGACCTGTCTTGTATTTGGACAAAATCATTTTGTTCTTTTATCAGTTGAATTATACAGTAAAGGTTTTAACGTAATTATTAATTATAAAAAAATAATATACCTCTCAATTAAACACCGACATAAACACCACTTCACACGCATTTCGGATGCTTGCCTTCTTTAACTTTAATATATTGAGATTAGATTAACTTTAACCCATAATTAATCAATAATTAATTCTTAATTAATTAATTAATTAATTTCCATTAACTATCGTAATCTTCACATGATATATGTTCCAACTTGCACACGTGTCATTTGGCTAACCACTGTAATTATTTTTGATGTTTTTTTAATTAAAAAATATCAAATACGATTGATTGATTTAGATTCAATAAGATAAGTTAAATTTTCGTAATAAAATTTGGATCCAGATTGGATCCAAATACCGAGTTTTATGTTCAGTTTTTGGGTCGGGTGTTGAGGTTTTCTTTCCCAATTATATATATATATATATATATATATATATATATGAGCCTATTCAAGAGAGAACTGATTAGTTTGTGGTAGCTGTGAGATCCAATCTCAACCACAAATCAACGGATAAATTAGAAAATTAATAATTATGATGGTTTGAGTTAAAATTATAATTAGAGGACATTTTAGGTATTTTTAAAAAACTTCTCTCTCCTCTCTCATCTTTCCGACCTCCAATCTCCGGCCTCCGGTGAACAAAAATCCGACATGTACCATGTAATCACAAAGATACACAATGTGATACCCATTGTGATATATTGTGATACTCATTGTGATATACTGTGATACCATTTGAGTACCATTGTATATCATAATGGGTATCACATTGTGTATCTTTGTGATTACTTGGTACCTGTCGGATTTTTGTTCACCGGAGGCCGGAGATTGAAGGTCGGAGAGATGAGATATGAGATATAAGAGAGAAGAGAGGAGAGAGAAGTTTTTTTAAAATACCTAAAATACCCTTTAATTATAATTTTAACTCAAACTACCATAATTATTAATTTTCTAATTTATCCGTTGATTTGTGGTTGAGATTGGATCTCACAGTTACCACAAACTAATCAGTTCTCATTTGATTAAACCTATATATATATATATATATATATATATATATATATATATATATATATATATCCTTGTGGTCGCCACCCACTATCAACTTTCGTTATCTGCCTATCTAATGGTGTTGAAATGTAAGAGAACAACGGTGAAAAAGAGAACATGGGAAGGAGGAAGCAATGGTTCATGGCAGTGGTGGCCGGAGGAGAACGATGGATGGTTGGTGGTGGACGGAGGATCGATGGTTGTGGTGTTGGTGCTCGGTGCTTCCAGGACCGTGGCCGGAGGATTGATCGTTTTGGTCCTTTCAATTATGTTATATATATTATTTACTTATTTCTTAAATTTTTGATCGAAAATCAAATAAAATTATAAAAGCCCCAAAATGTCATTGAGTTGATGGGAGTTAGTTAGAAGGACCAAAAGTGAACAAAGTGGCAGCCACAATGATCAAAAGTGTAATTAGTTCAAAAAAAGAACGAAAGTTGACGGTGGATGACAACCACACAGAGTAAAAGTGTAATTTACTCTAGTATTTATCATATTATATAGTCTTACGGGGAGGGGTAAAATTCAAACCAAGCTATTTATACAAACCGTAAAAACCGTCAATTTCATTGTTTATTTTAACGAAATTGTTTTATATGATGAAACTTTTTTAAATAATTCATTTCGTGATAAAAATGTTTCACATATTTTTGTTTTTTAAATTGTTTCATTTATTTCTTATTTCGATGAAATCTGTTTACTAAAATTAATAGAATGAAGATGATAATGTCCATAATTATTTAAAATGATATATAATATTGTTTTAAAAACTATTTATGATAAATCGAATCAAACAAAAGTCTTGATTTAATCATGAAAATAATAAGCATTAATTATTATATAAAAATAAAAACTTGCATGTTGTAGCACAAGAACATCCAACACATGAAGACAATTGCATGTGCCCTTTTGGCCTTATTCTTTCCCACCGGAATCTGGCCGGCGCCGCCGTCTCTCTCTCTCATCCACGGTGGTTCTTCACTTTCTTCTTTTAATTATAAATACAAAATCATCCCCTCATTTCCTCACAATCCGTCAATCAATTATGACTTCCAACACAATCTCTTTGGTTTTCGTGCTCGCCACCACCCTCCTCCACACCACCACCGCTGCCTACGGCGGTTGGCAGAGCGCTCACGCCACCTTTTATGGCGGCGGTGATGCTTCCGGGACAATGGGTATGTTCTAATATATATATATATTTATATATCATTTTCATAAATATAACATGGGTTAATTTAATAAACTTTTAATTATATTTATATTGGGTTCGTTTGATTTCAGGTGGAGCTTGTGGTTATGGGAATTTGTATAGCGAAGGGTACGGTACAAACACTGCGGCACTTAGTACCGCACTTTTCAACAACGGATTGAGTTGCGGTGGGTGTTATGAGATGAAGTGTGTGAATGATCCGCAGTGGTGCCTTCCTAGAAGTGTCATCATCACCGCCACCAATTTCTGCCCGCCCAACTTCGACCTGCCGAGCAACAACGGTGGATGGTGCAATCCCCCACTCCAGCATTTCGACATGGCTCAACCTGCTTTCTTGCATATTGCTAAATACAAGGCTGGCATTGTGCCTGTATCTTTCAGAAGGTAAAGCAAAGGGTACTTTAGCCATTTATTCATTGTTATAGTTACGGGATTTCGACTTTCTTGGGATATGTTTAGTAGCCATAAGTTAGCTTATTTTATGAACTTATTCAAAAAAAACTTCATTTGGTTTCTAATAAGCTTCGTGAGCATTTTACGTTCTATTATGGACTTTTCTGTAAATTTACTTATTTACCCCTTATTAACAGGGTTCCATGCATAAAGAAAGGAGGAATAAGGTTCACCATCCATGGGCACTCCTACTTCAACTTAGTTTTGATCAGTAATGTCGGCGGTGCAGGGGACGTCCAAGCAGTCTCAATTAAAGGGTCCAAAACCGGCTGGCAAACTATGTCTAGAAACTGGGGTCAAAATTGGCAGAGTAATTCATATCTTAACGGTCAAAGCCTGTCGTTTAGAGTCACAACTAGTGATGGAAGGACGACCACAAGCTACAACGTGGTGCGTGCAGGTTGGCAGTTTGGTCAGACTTTCCAAGGAGGACAATATTAATATTTCAAAAGTTAGAGGGGTTAATTTGAACCTTGCATTTAATTTGTCACTGATGCTTTAAAAACATGACAAATATCCATATTACTGAAACTAACAGTAATTGAATACATGTCATGTTTTTAAAACATCGATATACAAACGCAAGTGCATTACAACTCTGTATTTGTGCATACGTCTACAAATCCTCTCACATTCAATTATGGATCTCATACACTCATATAAAGCTGTTAACAACACTTGTTTTGAGGTTTTTTTATTTGAAAATAGCTTTTGTGGTAAGAATGAGCGAAAGATATATCCGATGTAATCTGTATTAGTACGATATTTAATGTTTATTTTGTCGGTCGTGAAGCTGAGGTGTTAAATAGCATTCGCTGAACGTTGTATTAAACCGACGTCAATAAATGTTAATTTAGTTTCAAGACTTTCTTTTGTAAACGCTTTTAAAGTTGACAATCATTATCCCAGGGCGACCACCTGCTTTGCAGATAGCCCGGAGTCACCGCATTTGAACATCCGTGGCCACAAGTGGATTTTTATTCCTTCTTGGATTTGAACTTAGAAACAAGGGGTTAAGCCTCCACAATAAAATTGAATACCTAACACTATTTCTTCACCTACGTCCTTCTAACCCCTAAACATAGTTCGATATGAAGAAAGTCAGTATTTGGTTAAAAGTATCTGAAAAAAAAGTCTAGGGTGTCCCAGGTTTCAGAGTGTCAAGATAAATCCGAACTGATGGACTCGTCTAGTCTGAAACCAGTTTGGTTTTTTTGTCATAAATATAATATATCAGATACATTATTAATTTATATGTAAATCTTTTAACTGTATCACATTTTATAACAGAACGACTTACCTGAAAAAGACCAAATAAAGTTAAACGTGTCTTTGTGATTAAGAAAATTCAAGCATAACACTTTATTGAATGACCAACTTAATGCATAATTCTTCTGCTACGTTATTATCGTACCGAAAAAGTACTACATCGGCTCCTGATTGTTGCTGCTCCAGTAAAATATTAACATCTTCTTTTCAGAAACCAGAACTGTAAAAATATAAAATAAAATTATTTGTAAAATTTAATATGAATAATTAAAATAGTTACATGCCAAGTTTTCGTCAATTTACCGCATCTATGACATCTGCCATAGAAAACACTGAATTTCCCATTTTTTAAAATGAGAAAAATAAATTACGAAATAAAGAAATAATTACTTAACAATTCAAGGGCATGAATTTAATGGAAGAGTAAACTAAATTTGGTTATGTGATTTGTCGAAAATAATAATTTTTGTCTCTGTAGTTTCGAAATTACAAGATAACCATCATGGTTTTTGGAAACGTTTGGATTTGATCCCTCCTTCTAACGGCCGTTAAAAACTTAGTTAAATGAAGGGTATTTTCGTTCTTTTAGCATTAATTTTTTTTGTCTTTTACCCATTAAAATCAATTATATGATTTTGGTCCATGTGGTTTTAGATTGAGTAAAAGACAAAAAAAATCTATAAAAGAATGAAAATGTCCTTCATTTAACGGAATCTTTTTAACGCCCATTAGAAAAAAAGGATCAAATATAGACATTTTTTTATAAATTATGATGACCATGTTATAACTTCAAAAACTACAGAGAAAAGTGTTAATTTTAACAAACAACAAGGACCAAAGTTGGCCAAAAGAGCAATTATAGAGAACTTGGTGATTTTGTGGTAAATCCAAATTCTATTTATCCCCAAACATATTAGAGTATTAAGGATAGTTTGGTAGTTTTATTTGTATCGAGTTAATTAGGACCGATCAAGGATCTTTACGATATTCTTGACCGCACCCATCTTAGAACCGTATGGTTAATTAGGGTCGAGATCGACAACGATTAAGCTTTTTTCAAAGCCGAGCCCATACATTTATGACTCATTTCTCTTTTCTTTTTGTTGGCCTATACACGAAATCACCTTTTTGGCCCTGGAAATATAGATGCTCAAGTCCCGGGCCTTAGTAAGTAGAAAAGGTCCGGTCTTCTTTAGGTCTGGGCTAAGCCACGCTGGGCTTTGAGGTTGAAAAGGGGCCCATTAGACTTTCTCATGCCAGACCTTTTTAGGCTTAATCGGGCTTTTCCAATAAAATGGCTACCTAATCGGCTCCGAGGCATGTCCCGACCATGCTTCGTGCTCACTCGGACCAAGATTTTTCGAACCGAAACCGATCCAAGATATGATCTTGTTCTTTTTTATGCATCTCTAATGGGAAAAGGATATAATTTTGGAGGGGGTGAATGATTTTCAAGTCAACCCCCTAATGTTGCAGGCTAAAAGATCCCAAATCTAACCACCACAAATAAATACCTAAAAATTCGAATTTGGCATTTTTGTCTCTATCTACCCGCAGGATCATTTCTATTTTTGGTTGGAATCATCATCATGCCACTAATCCAAAACCCTCTCCCCTTCTTCTTCTTGCACCCATTTGAAATCCCACTTGAACCACCCAACCAATTGTTCCCCACACTTGCAGTTTTCCTCGCAATTCAACTATTTTTGGATATCCTCTTCAACCCACCTCCCAATTGCGCCAAATAACTCACTTTTCTATCTCTACGATGCATTTGGGTAGTTTCAGTAACTGTAAAGGAAATATGAACTTGGGGTTTCCAAATTCTCAGTTTTTACACGACTTCAAGGCTTGCCAATTGGGGAATTCAGGTTTTCTTTATGAACCTAGATGCACAAAGGTGAGAAGTTCTTGCTTTGGATCCTTAAAACCCCTAAATTACAGCGTCTTTTGTGAACCTAGATGGTCAAATCAGAGTGTTTCTTGTTCTAAACCCTTGAAAACCCAAAATTATTCCGGAAAGGAGGTGGGATTTCTTAAAACAGTTGAAAAGAAGAAGAATTTGTTATCTGTTAGGGTAAAATCGGTGATTGGTGTTAGTAAAGTGGTGGAGAAAGATGATGTTGCCGAGGTGAAGATGATGGATAGTGGTGGTGGTGGTGGTGGTTATGATGCAATTGTGATTGGTTCCGGGATTGGTGGATTGGTGGCGGCCACGCAGTTGGCGGTGAAGGGGGCTAAGGTATTGGTGCTGGAGAAATATGTGATTCCTGGTGGGAGTTCAGGGTTCTATGAGAGGGATGGTTATACTTTTGATGTTGGATCATCTGTGATGTTCGGATTCAGCGATAAGGTACTTGGTTTACTTTCGTATTATGTTAGATTTTAATGTTGATTTAATGTAATCATGTTTGTTAGTTTTAATAATGTTGGCAATCATCGATCATGGGATCTTGATTGTGTAGTTCATTTAGCGTTTTCATGTCATGGGCTTGGATTATGTGTTGACTATGGTATAAAATGTGATCATAGGTTCCATCTAGACATCAAAATTAGACCCCAATAATGGAGGATCGAGGAAAATTGTATGAAAAATGGAAGTTTCATTTGAGAATGAACTCAAATAGAGTATTTAGGGAAAGATGTGGTGAATCTTGATTGTCTAGATCATTTAGCATGTTCATGTCATGGGCTTGGATTATAAGTTGAATATGGTTTAAAAGGCGATCATGGGTTCTATCTAGACATCAAGATTACACCCCAAAACATGGACGATCGAAAATTGTATGAAAAATGGAACTTCTGTTTGAGAATGAACTCAAATCGACTATTTAGGGAAAGATGTGACTGAATCTTGATCTTGTAGATCATTTTTCACCTTATGGGTTTGGATTATATGTTGTATATGGTTTAAAATGTGATCATGGCTTTAATCTAGACATCAAGTTTACTGCCTAAAAGTGGAGGCTCGAAGCAAATTGTATGAAAAACTGGAACTTTTGTTTGAGAATGAACTCAAATCGATGATTTAGGGAAAGATGTGACTGAATCTTGATCTTTTAGATCTTTTTCACCTCATGGGTTTGGATTATATGTTGTATATGGCTTAAAATGTGATCACGGGTTTCAGCTAGACATCAAGATTACTGCCCAAAAATGGAGGATCGAAGCAAATTGTATGAAAAACTGGAACTTTTAATTTTAAAAATGAACTCAAAGCGACTATTTAGGAAAGATGTGATATGAACAATATGCAATTAACCTGTGATATTTGATCGTATCTCAAGTTCTTTTCTTTTGCCATAGGGAAACTTGAATCTAATAACTCAAGCGTTGGCGGCAGTTGGGTGTAAAATGGAGGTGATACCCGATCCAACCACTGTTCATTTTCATCTACCGAATAGCCTTTCTGTCCAAGTGCATAGAGGATATGATGATTTCATTTCTGAACTCACGAGTAAATTTCCCCACGAAAAGGAAGGGATTCTCAAATTCTACAATGAATGCTGGAAGGTCGGTTTTGAGTTTTGATTAAGGTGATTGCACTTCTAGTTGTTCGTTTTCACCTCAGTTTTGAATCGAGACTTTGGCTACAAACTTCTTTCTGGTATGTCTCAGATTTTCAATGCGTTGAATTCACTGGAGCTTAAGTCCCTTGAGGAACCTATATATCTCTTTGGACAGTTTTTCAAAAAGCCTGTGGAATGCTTGACACTAGGTACGTTTTGCATATACATATATATATAGGGTCCGGTTCAGGGGAAAACCGCAAAAAATGAAGTAAATTTTTGTAAGCAATTTGTCCGGTATGCACATGAGCATAGAAACCGTCCAGATGAATGGTTGGTTACCATGGTGTTCCTCAAATTTTCATTTTTTTGGGGATTTTCCCCTGAATCTCCTCTCTCTATATACATATGTGTGTGTGTGGTTTTACCATTAGCTTTTGCACCAATTCCTGCATTTTGTACTCCTTTTTGTGGGTCTCAACTTCATTTATCCGCACATGAAGTAATTGGGATCTAGAATCATATATTCGGTTCTTGTAGCGTGTGTTTGGTACGCACGGAAAGGATATAATAGAATCTTGTCCCATGTTGGTGCTACAATTGGACTGAGACCAAACAGGACCGAGTGGGACAAAAATGCATTTTTTTTGGTCCCACCAAAACAGGTGGAATAAAATGTAATAGGTAACTTACTAAATTACCCATGTCAAATTAAAGCCATAAAAACTTCCACAATTCTTTCATCTGCCTACCACACTCTCGCTCGTCCAGTCCAATCCCGTCCATGTACCAAACGCACTCCTTGTAAACAGGACCCACAAAATAAAAATGATTAGGATCTCTCTCATCTTCACCACTAGATATTCGACATTTCGATTTTGTTGTCCTTTTTATATGGTCCCATTTACTTCGAGATGAAGATGAAACTTGCAAAACGGAAATCTTGCAGACCCAAATCAAGTGCCAAGAAACTTAAACCATTAGTTTCTTTCTTTTCAACTTGTCCAAGTGCTAGAAAACGAAGATAAATGATTGCAAGTTATATGCTTCTCTTGTCTTTTGTAGCTTACTATTTGCCACAGAATGCTGGAGCCATAGCTCGCAACTTCATAAAAGATCCCGAAGTGCTCGCATTCATAGATGCCGAGGTGAGACTATACCATTTCCTAGGTTTTAGAATATTTTTTATCGTTCAGTTCCGACCTCTGTGTGGGATTTACTGGGTTCGTTTGGTTTGTTTATACTGAATGCTCAATTCTTGCAGTGTTTTATTGTGAGCACGGTTAGTGCTTTACAAACGCCCATGATCAATGCAAGCATGGTAAACATCGATCTTCTTTTAGTCGGTTTGTTCTTCCTCTTGTGCCCATGTTCCTAACCCGGTGATTTTGGTAGGTTTTGTGTGATAGACATTATGGGGGCATTAATTACCCTGTTGGCGGGGTCGGAGGAATTGCAACGTCCTTAACAGAAGGTTTAGTTGATTACGGAAGCGAAATACTTTACAGGGCAAACGTTACAAGCATTATCATCGATAATGGGAAAGCTGTGAGTTTAGCTCGATTATTGATATTCATAGAAGTTTGGTTTAGTTCCTAGTTTGTGCAACAAATAATTTTTTTCCCTAATCGATGTAATAAAGTTTCAAAATTTTCTATTTTGTACACATTTCGATGGGTAATCTACTAATCTTGTAACATCTGATGATGTGGCTACCCGTTTATGGAAGGTTTATGGCAAAGCAGACGATAAACTTAACATCCATGCCATCAAATGTTACAAGATCAGTAAATTACCGGTCAAAATGGGTACAAAATAGGAAATTTTGAAACTTTGTTACACTGATTGAGAAAAAAATTCTTACTAAACCCCACCCCTTTGCCAACTAAGCTACATGCCCAAGGCTAATTTTTCGTGCTTATTGAAGGGCATTTTTGTCACTTGATGTCAAGTAACCATTGCAACTTTTGTTATGGAGATTACAAGATTCTTGCCATCATTTACGACCTTCCGGCATTGTTGTAGGTTGGAGTGCGATTGTCGGATGGAAGAGAGTTCTTTGCCAAAACCGTAATCTCAAATGCTACTAGATGGGATACTTTTGGTTGGTTTTTTTGACGTATTTTAATCCCTATAATCGACTTTTTTTTATACATAATGGTTTGGATGAGTAGATTTTATATGTTTTCCGTATTGTAGGCAAACTTTTGAAAAAACAAGATCTACCAAAAGAAGAAGAAAATTTCCAAAAAGTTTACGTTAAAGCGCCTTCTTTTCTTTCTATTCACATGGGGGTCAAAGCCGAGGTTTTGCCACCGGATACGGATTGCCACCATTTTGTTCTTGAGGTACTTTGCATATTTTCGTTTCCTGTATTTCGCATTCCACATAGACGATTCTTTTTGATTTTTTTAATCGTGTAGGACGATTGGAAAAACTTAGAGGAGCCGTACGGGAGTATATTTTTGAGCATTCCGACTATACTCGATCCGTCGTTGGCTCCCGAAGGGCGTCATATTCTTCACATATTTACAACCTCGTCTATAGAGGATTGGCAGGTACTCATCCTTTCAGATCAAACGTAGACAGTATATCCGACTTGAAAGTAGGGTTCGGGTTAGGATTGTACGTAGTCAGTATTGTCCATATCAGGCCGGTTGTTAGTGAAATGTCTAAAATACCCTTTAATGATGATAAAATAGGAGAACATTTTTGAATCAAAATCTGTATTGTCCATAATTGGCAGTGGGTACAATGGGCACAGGTTACTTTAGCTTGAAAATCTTCCAAATTTGGTATGTGCGCGTGTGTGTATATGTATATATATTATGTATATATATTGTGTACATATAGAGCGAGGTTCGGGGTAAAACCTCCAAAAAATGAAAAAGAGGAACACCCTAATAACCATTCATTTGTAAGTAATTTGTCCGTTATGCACATGTGCAACCCATGCATAGCAACCAGGAAACATCTTTAATTACTTGTATTCACATGTGCAAATTGTACAGATGAACGATTAGTAGGTTGTTTCTCAGTTTTTCATTTTTTTGTGGTTTTCCTCTGAAACTGACCCTTATATATGTATATATTTATTTATTTACGGTCAACATTGTTTGGTGAAAAAAATAGGGGCTTTCCACAAAAGATTACGAGGCAAAGAAGGAACTTGTTGCAGACAAGATCATCAGCAGACTCGAAAAGAAACTATTTCCGGGTCTCAAATCCTCCATCGAATTTAAGGAGGTACTACGCTTACCCTATCGCCTGAAAAGTTTCATTTGAAAGCAAGTATTATGAAATGTTCTCAAAATTGATGCGAGTTTTTCGGTCATTTTCCCGTAGAAATTTGATAAATTTATGATAAATTTGGATAGTTTTATCTAACAACTTATTCATGGATGATTGCGGTCGAAAATTACTGCAGTAACTAGTTACTAACCGTGCATTTTTCTCTGTAGCGCTATACAGTTTTTTTAAAGAGGACGGTACCTCTGGCAATTTTATCGATATATCTTTCATTTTTCGAGTCTCTATCTTTATGTCTAGTTATTTTTTTTCTTTTGCACCATATAACTTGGACCTGCCAATTGAAAATGGTCAACGGCTAAAATGCATAGGACCTTAACGGTTGTGAGCTTTGGCAGGTGGGCACACCGAAGACACACAGACGGTTCCTGGCTCGAGATAGCGGCACGTACGGACCGATGCCACGTAATGTTCCCAAAGGCTTGTTGGGAATGCCTTTTAATACCACTGTAAGTTAAAACTCAAGTGGTATTCATGGAAACAACTGCTTTATTTTTGTGGTAGAGATCAGGTACCTTTCTCGGACCCCACCTCCGTGTGGAATATACTGGGTTTGTTTGGTTTGGTTTGGTTTATCTTTAAGTCGTTATCAGGATTCGAGTTGGATGTACGTCGATTTTGGATTGTAAGAGAAGCCTCTTTTGACATTTAACTGATCGTTTCACCTTGAGACTAACTCGGTCTTTCCGTATTGAACCATGTAGGCTATAAACGGTCTTTATTGTGTGGGCGATAGTTGCTTTCCGGGACAAGGCGTTATAGCGGTAGCCTTCTCTGGCGTAATGTGTGCACATCGAGTAGCTGCAGACGTTGGTAAGCGTAATTTTATTCGGATGACGTTAACTGAATATCATTTTGCATACTGTGTCTTAACTATAAGCGGTTCGGCTCCAGGGCTTAATATAGTTGGTTCCAGGATGGTATGCTTGCACAAACTATAGATTGGTTCTTGTAAGATGTATACCCTTGTGACCCAAGGGTTTAGGGTTTTTGTAACCCGAAGATTCTCTAGAAACTAGGTCTTCGGGTTAACGACCAAACCCTTTGTTTCTTGTGGACCCAATATTCTGGGTCCATGTTTGACCATCATTAGGTGGTCAAATCTGTATTTTTAATTAAACTGTTGTTATTAAACGTTCCCTTTTTCTTCTCAGGACTCGAAAAGAAGTCACAGGTGTTAGATGCCGGTCTCCTTGGACTTCTTGGTTGGTTGAGGTCGTTAGCGTAAGAAGCTTTACCGGTGTAATAATGTAAAAACGACTGTCGTCATTCATATGTGAATCCTAAATTTATGCATTTGTGACGATGATCTCGATCAATTTTATGTTATTTTTATAATTATATGGTTCGGTTTTGGTTACAAAATTTCAAATAAATCGTTCTCTCTGTTTGTCGTTTACAAATATCGGAACATATCGTAGGATCGAATCAGAGTTTAATTAAAATGAGTTCAAATAAATTATCAAAATAATGTAATTTATAAATAATCCATAAACCTAAAATTTCATCGAAATCAAATGATTTAACTCGACTTACTTCTGACCGATCAGGTCGGATGCCCAAAAATCAAACCTAACCTGACCCAGATATCCTCTAAAAGTTGGTTTGTGATTTTCGGATATTAGAATATTCAGATGTTGTTTGTTTACCTCTTAATAGTTTTATTAAGAGGTAATATCTAAATCGTTAAGAGATTAATCTTGATCGGTAAAAAAATGTATGTCTCTTAATGGTTCCAAAACCCTCTGAACGGTTTTGTATCGGGTTTTCCTTAACCATTCAGTGTCCTAATTTTGTTGTAAATAATTACCAAACAATTATAATTCATTTTGTACCATATCATGAGGGTTTTTTAATCATTTTGCATCAAACCATTTAGCAATTATTAAACATCTACTTATCAGCCAAACCATTAGCAATTTTCCGTTTGGTTTTGATTTCGGTTTGGTACACCTCTACTCTAAAAGGGTATAAAAATAATTCGTGTTTTTCTTATATTTTATTACACACGTCGAAAGGAACGTGAAAGAACCACGGCCGTCCATTTTCGTGATCAACGATTTATGTCGCCGGCGTGAAAGTTGCCGGAAAATCGCATTCAAAAACAAGTCAAAACAGTAAAGATATTTTCCACTTTCTCTGTTCATACTTGACATTGATTACAGTACTCTTTGGTAACTCTCACACCAACCATCCCTAGGCAGTAGGCACTATATAGTCATCAAATCATATGCATATTCGCATATATATCTCCATCAGAAATTAAGGAAGGAGCATCCAATATCCTCGTTTTTATAAGTGATCTTCAGGTAAGTTTTTGATCTATCTGCATTTACACTTGAGTTTTGTCTGGGATTGCGTGTAAATATTTCATGATTGTTGTCTAATAATGAATGTAGAGTAGCAGATCTGGTGTTTTGTATGCTGGATTTCGTCGAGGTTTGAATTGTACGGTTTTGCTGTTAGCGACAGTTTGTTATTTACTGGAATGAGGTAAGAACTTGATGTTTGATGCTTTGATTGTTTGAATTATGAACATTAAGTTTGATTTGGAATTTATGTTGTTGGTAGATTTTGAGATCAAAACCGAAGTTAGAAGTAATACATAAGGAAGCGAGGAAGATGGGCGAAGGACAGCGGTTTCAGCTGGGAACAGTTGGAGCGTTAGGTTTGTCGGTGATTTCTTCGGTTTCGATTGTGATTTGCAACAAGGCGTTGATAAGCACTCTTGGTTTCACTTTTGGTAAGCAATCAAGCCCTTACACCATGTTTGCAGATTCTAGTTTCGAATTATTTTTCACGAACCTGGTGTATGAATCAGCACTCATTGTGCTGAATGCCTGAAAGTTCGGTAGATTGCCATTAGGAAACCAAGCTCATGATCCTTGGATCGTAAACTTCTAGGCCAGTTAAGAGTGAAATAATTGGCGCTCAGTGTATGATTTTTTTAATGGACTAATGACTCAAGGTCATGTTGCTTGATATTTGGTACTTGTTACATTGTTGGCAAATGATGCCATTAGGAGCTTGATGCTCAACCATTTTACCATTGATACAAAAGACACATACATCCTTAGTAGAACTTTATACCGAGAAGTAAGGCCCTGGGATTGTTGATGATGCTTTGTTGTTTGCTTTACGTGTTTTCGGTACGTTCCTCTCAATTGATTATTGGTATCCCTTTTTGATTTGGTGTAAGATTTCACTGTTCCTTTGGTACTTCAAAGGATTTGAATTGAATCCACACCATTTCGATAATTAAAAGGACAACTCAGGAAACAAACCATTATGTGAAACACAAAATCACATACGAATTACAATGATGATTCTCCCATTCAATGATGCAACATACTTGGGCTGGAAATCTGAAAACTATTAGAATTAGGAAACATCAACAACATGACTTGTAATAACCATATGAACCCATTGAGGGGTGGTTATTTTGGGGTTATCTTGATGCCTACAACCTAGTATGATGATCAAGATGAAACAGTTGATAGAAGGCCAGCAAGTGGATGAGAATGCAAAGGGTGTCATACCAGTTGAGCTACATCTGACAGTGAAATACTGGGAACAGCAAAAAATAAACTGCTAAGTGAATCACAACAAACAAATCATGGACGAAGAAGAGGAATATGTCTCCCACATTTTTTACCTCCATGAAATATAGCCAGGCCCATGGTTATAGCAGATGTCAAAATGTTGTCTGCAAATATTTTGATGCTGTAGAATGGGTATGGCTTAAGGGGTTGATGCACACTGAATCACTAATATTATGATAATCGAACATGCTAACGAAAATGACCCAGTAAATCCCACTCAACAGTGGGTATTGGAATAAGAATATGCTGAAATGATCAAAGAGAAAAAGAACTGAGGAAATGCAGTGTCATTAGTGTAGCTTGGAGATTAGAAACCAATCTTAAGTCATGTGAGACAGACCAAAGAGAGTGTACAAGAGAACAAAAGCTTGGAGATTAGAAATTAATTGCAAATCATGTGAAACAAACCAAAGAGAGTGTCTAAGAGAACAAAGCAAAGAGTCTCCTCGGCCTGGTATATCCAGCACAGCAAAAGCATCGTGTACAACATGAGGAACAACTAATGGGATCAGGCATATGAAATAAAGAAAATGACAACCAACTGTTGAACAGAACGAAGATTACCCGAGACATTCTGACTGGTGGGTACAAAAAATATATAGCTGTTTTTGCCTTTGGCGATTCTTAAGCTTTGCCACTTTGGGAGGAGGTGCTACAGTAAAATCAATTTTTGAGTAATAAATGAACGGATAGCCATTTGGTTTGAAAATTCGGAGTCCTATGTTTACTGTAGCTTCTTCCATAAAATATGCCTGATTTCATGGATGATTCTCCAATCTGAATGTAATCAACTTGGCTCGACCATTCTACTCAAGATCTTTAATGCCGTCAGCTTCTCCTAAGAACCTGCCACAATGGATGTGCTCTGTCGCAAACCCCCACTGAAATCCCCAATGGACAACTTTGAACTTTGTTGCCGTCAACCCTTCCTTTCATAAATCCGACCTGGTTGGCCGACCAGAGTTCAAAAACGGAACATGAATCTGATGGGATTGACTCCACAATATCATCACTTAGAGCGCAAGTAAAAGATCAGTTAAATCAAGTTAGAGAGAGAAATGGTGCCTCGTAATACCAAATACTTTAAATGGTTTAATTTCTTCATGCTATCGTAACGTATTTATGATCTGAAAATCAAGGAGATAAAAATTTGTTTGACAGCCTTTTAGTGTAGAACTTGTTTTTGTCACATTCACAAGGTTTCTAATACTATAAGATCAAATTAAGTAGTCGTTGTAACATTTGTGTTCATAGTTAAGATCTATTTACCTATATAAGTTATAGCTGTTGAGAAAGTTAACTGGTATGAAGTAAAACCATAACATAATAATTTACAGTTGTTAACTGAACTTTCTGATCACCAATATCCTTTGAGGATATGAACCATGCCCCTCTTTTCTTTTGTTTTTCTAACAATTTTATAGAAAGTTCGCAACTGTCAAAAGTTATTTGCAAATTCCATGTTTTATTTGCAATGGCCTGCCTTTGTAGACATGTTATATATTACTTAAAAAAAGTTTTAAATACCCTGATATTGCTCATATGCTGACTTCAATTTTACTTGTTTATACTCAGCTACTACTTTGACAAGCTGGCATCTTTTAGTCACATTTTGTTCGCTGCACCTGGCTTTACGGATGAAATTTTTTGAGCACAAGCCTTTTGATTCAAAAGCTGTCATGGGATTTGGCATATTGAATGGAATCTCCATTGGACTTCTAAATCTCAGCCTGGGCTTCAATTCTGTTGGTTTTTACCAGGTAAAATTCTATTTGCCTTTATGCAGCAATTTGCTCTCAAGTTTTCTGTTATCTATGCCAGTCTATAGACTCCAGGTAAGAAATTATAGCCTGATCCTGTTAGTAAAGAATCACTTTCTCAACATAGGACCTCAAACTTTTGATCGGAGTGTATATATGTCAACCGGTTAGAGTTAAATGAATCATTTTTTCTTGCGTGAACTTGCTAACTTCATCTAATACAGCTTATTGGAAATTGTATGAAACCTTCTGCTACTTCTAAGTGATTTGCATTTCACGCCCTTGTACTTGGCACACTTCTTATCAACCAACAAACTTGCAAAATGCAACAAAAAAACACAAAAGAAACCTTATAATTGACCAAAAAATAGTGAAAGAAACGGCACAATGGCACGAATGTTGTGTTTGCTATTTTGTGTCTACTTGAGTGTTCTCTTTTCATTTCCATAAGTATTTGTTTGTTTAGAAAGACAGTGTCAAGTACAGTCGCTCAAAATGCTAATCACTCCTTTACTTTTATATTAAATTCGTTGGTGTTAGGGACTTGATGTGGAATAAGGTCATCATCTCCTAAATTTAATGTTGTTAAAGTTCATATCCTAGTAAGTGGTGTGTTCAGGTTATCAGCTTCTAAAAATTTTCTTTGTAGCCTGACTTAGATATTTATTCCTGGTTCCATTATAGATGACAAAACTAGCAATCATCCCCTGCACTGTACTTTTGGAGACTCTTTTCTTCAGCAAGCAATTCAGGTTAACTTTTTATCTTAAATGCTCCTTTCTGTGTCTGTTCAAACAGATTATAAATATTTCCAGCTCATATATGAATCCAACTTCTTACCATCTTCTCTAATTGTTTTACTTCAAGTCTAGAGATCTGATATGCCTTGGCGTTTTGATGGAATGTACCAGTTCCAACCTGAAAGGGGTGTAGGGCTTTTCGATGGAATGACCAGTACCAGCTCATATATGAATCCAACTTCTTACCATCTTCTCTAATTGAAGGGCTTAGTATTTAATATTAATTAGTTATGTTTTATTATTATATTAATTAGTTGTCTTTTAGGATATCTTCTAGTATGCTATTTGAATAATGGCAGGKTTAGGAAATCTCTGAGAATGTATAAGTCGCTAGGGTTAAGGGTTTGGGAGAACAAAAATTGAATATAGAGCTTTGGGAGACCACCTACTTCTTGAATTGTATGCATTATCCTTGACCTTGTAATTTTCTTTTGTTCATAGATAAATGAAATAAGCCCGTTTGGTTTGTAGGATTTGGTGGGATTTGGAATTGAATTATATTCCAGTCCCACATTTGGTTTAAAGGAAAGTCTGGAATTGAAATCCCGGAATTTCAATCAAATCTTACATACATGGGATTTAGAAATCCCATGGGGTTAATTGGTATTTCATTATGATTTCATAGGATTTGTTTGTAACAATGTTCTAGAATATATTAAATACACTTGTTTTGTAGTAATCAATTAATAAAAGGGTAATTTAATTATTTTATAACTTTTTATAATTTGCTTCTATAGAGAAGGGAATTCAATTCCTTTCCAAATCCTACAAACCGAATATTCAAATCCTTCCACGAAATCCAAATCCCTCGAAAACATTCCATCAAACCCAACAGGCCCTAAGAGTTCAGTTTGCATTCTTATCAAAATCCAACATCACCAAGTTGCAGTTTCTTGAAACAATCCAAAATAATGATGTTTCTAAATTCAAATTTAAAAACTCTGTGCAACTTAGGTGGGTTGGCTTTTGAGTTTGGAGCATTAAACAACGCAGTATCTTCCTCTAAATTGCTTCTCCACTTTTCAATTTCGATGCTAACATTTATTGTTTACCATCTGCAGTAAGAAAGTCAGGTTTTCACTTACTGTCTTACTCTTGGGAGTTGGAATCGCAACAGTAACAGACCTGCAGCTCAATCTCTTGGGCAGCATCTTATCGCTACTTGCCATAATAACAACTTGTGTTGCTCAAATTGTATCCTTAAACTCTTCTATGAATGATTAATTAAATAAACGCATCTTTCTGTTCATGCCACTCACGAATAAATTGCACATATGTTCAGTCCTTAAATCATTTTATCTCAGATGACAAATACAATCCAAAAGAAGTTCAAGGTTTCTTCAACTCAACTCCTCTACCAATCTTGCCCGTATCAGGCTCTTATCCTGTTCATCGTAGGTCCTTTTCTAGATGCCCTTTTGACGAATCAGAACGTTTTTGCTTTCAAATACACAAATCAAGTGCTGGTGAGGACTAAATTGTCTTTTTGTTCTTGGGGCACTTCGATATTACATGAACTTGGGGGAGGTTCAAATGATAAGCGTAAATATTTTGAGAACCTGGAACCAACTAACCATGCTTTATTCATGATCATGATAGATATTCATGATGAAAATTCTTCATAATGAAAATGCATGATATCATGAATAATGAAAATGCATGATATTCATGATGAATAAATTCATGATCATCTAGGGTTATTCATCATGAATAATAAATGAAATAGTTGGTTCCGAAGTCCTTAAAATATATATGGTTCCCGTTTGAACTTCCCCCATCAACTGGAATCTTAATTTTTATGAAATTGCAGGTATTCATCATTCTCTCCTGCCTCATATCGGTCTCTGTCAACTTCAGTACTTTTCTGGTGATCGGAAAGACATCTCCAGTGACTTATCAGGTGTTGGGTCATTTGAAAACATGCCTAGTTTTGGCATTTGGATATGTTCTGCTACACGATCCATTTAGCTGGCGAAACATTCTGGGAATCCTCATTGCTGTTGTCGGTATGGCACTCTATTCTTATTTCTGTACTCGTGATACACCGCCAAAGCCCACTGAACCATCAACACCGTTTTCTCAGGTACTACATTAAAATTCACATTGATCCTTTGGGTAAATGATGTTTTACGAGTTTTTACTTAGAAGCATGACCTTCTAGAATCTTTTTTAGCTCAAGGACCTTCATCTGACCTGCCCTTGGTTAAGAAAAGTGTACTCCCAATACACTAGAGGATCATTTTGGAAATCTTTCTTCTAGAGAAGGTCATTGAGCTAAATGGCCCGAGCGCACATTGCCTACAAACTACGAGATATTTAGGTGTAGAACCTTAGTGGGACCTTTTAAGAACTCTCTAAATCGTGAGATCTGTGAGAACCTATGCATCATGTGCTATTTCATATGATTTTGTTTTCATCCATTGCTAGAATTTAATGTACCGATTAACATGTATTTGTTTCACAGGCACAATGTGAACCTTTTTGCCGTGTTTGTGAAACAAAAAATACATGTAAAAACGTTTCACATTGTGAACCGAATGCATATGAAACAAACATATTATGAAATAAACTTATTATGAAACAAATATATGTAAATCAATACATTATATATTTTCCTTGGATGGAAAAAAATCATGTGAAACAAAACTTTAAGGTAGAATTTCTCATAGATATCACAAATTTTGGAGTTTTTAAATGATTATATCCCGTAAGCTTAAATGATATTTTATGAGTATGAAGCCATTTTTCTTTTAATAGGTTAGAAGTTCATGGATCTAATTAAAATCTATTTGAAGTTGTATATACCAAAATGACCCTACAAACTACAGCGTCGTTAACGTGTAACCACAAAGCTAAATTTATCTGTTTTTTATTTTGTTTTACAAGAAGAATGAAAGTGAGAGCGATCCTTTAGTAAGTGCGGAAGATGGAGCGAGTGTGTCAAATGAGGGCAGTCCTCAGAAACCACCCGTGTGGAACTCGGACAAGGATCTGCACGCTTAAATGAATCGTGACGATTATTCGATCTTCAGGTATAAATACTCTTTATTCACGAATACCATGCGTAACGACGATGTCTCCATCACCGTTCACGTTCACGTTCACGAGTGTGTTAAAAGAGATCGGGATTCCGGGTTTTAGAGAAGATTGTAAGATCCAATCTATTTTGATCATTTAACGTTTTCACTGTTTTATAAAATGAGTCATATTTTCTTGGTGTAAAATGAAGATAAATTGTACTATTTTTCGGATCTTTTGTCATAATCATGATATCTGAATTTTTTGTTGAATTAGTTAATAAATCCCATTTACGCAATTAATGCTTTTGTTTTGTGGGCAATTATGGCATGTCTAAACCTTGAGGGTCGGGGGTAAATGATTCAAGGAATCGATCTTGAACACATAATAAGGCTCGCTTAACTTAACAAGTCGACCTCCATAACACCAATGTTTTACGAGCCGAGTCGAGCCATCCAAATATACACTTTTATCGAGACAAACATATTCATATGTTTATAAATTATATAATCAAAATATATGAATTACCGAGCTTGAGCAAATGAATGAGTTAATCAATCTCGGGCTCGTAAACGAGCATTGAGCTCGAGCCTGATATTATTCTTTTGAGTTGAGCTTGAATAATCTGCTACTCGATTCGGCTCGTTTACACTTATTAAGTTTAACCGTAAATAAAGTCTCCTTAGAGCTAGGAGTGTTAACGAGCTGACTAGAGTCGAGTTGCAGGTTGTTTAGAGTTCGACTTGAAAAAACTATTACCATGCTCGGCTCGAGCTCAAATAACCATTTTCACAGTAGGCTCGAGCTCGATACTCGTTTACGGGCTCAAACTCAAGATCGATTAGCTCGCTTATTGGGTTGACGTCAATAATTTTTATACTTTGGTTATATGATTTACAAACATATGAACATTATGACTTGAAAAAGTGTATGCTTGACTGGCCCCAGCTTGGCTCGACTCAAAAAATTTAATTGAGCTTTTGAATGAGTTGAGTCGAACATTGGTGTTATGGAGCTCGAACTCAGAGATAAACGAGCTCAAGCTCGAGCATCTCATTAAAAACTCGACTTGTTAACACTCCTACTCAAAGCCACAAGGGATTTTCTTGCCTGTTATTTTTAGACTTGTGGATTAGTCGAGGTAACTGTAAGTTGGCACAGATACTCATGATTAAAAGATGATTAGATCATGCGATGCGAAATGACGTATTGTTGTTGCGGATTAGGGTTATAACTTGAGAGAACCGTAGGCCTACGTCATTTGTAATGAATAATTAGAAAGTCGTATGTGTGTATAGTGTATGATATTACGTATTGTGTGTTTGTATACATGTTGATGGTAACATCCCATCGACTACGATTATGATGGTTATAATTGTCCAAATTTTGGCATCCATTGTTTTATGGAGGAACTGTTATTATTCCGTTTTAGGGGGGGTTTATGTTGCGTTATTTATGCTTTGAGGTTTACTCGATTTTATAGCGAGAGACGTCGGTGACTACGATATGTTAGATAGAAATTTGCATTTATATGAACGACTTAGGGGTTTTTCGTTTACCTTTTAATAGTTCCATTAAGAGGTGAATCTTGTTTGACAAAAAAAAAGTCCGTCTCTTAATGGTTCTAAAACTCTCTGAATGATTTTTTATCCCGAGTCTCCCTTAACCATTAAGCGCTTTAATTTCATTGTAAACGATTACCAAACAATTATACTTTATTTTGTACTATATCATGAGAGCCTCTTAATCATTATATACCAAACCGTTCAGCAACTGTCAAACAGTTCCTTAGGTTTTGTTGAAAACCCCTAAATCTTGTATGTCACCGGAAGACCAGAGCTGCAAAATTAGGGTTTTGAAAATGATGTTGTAAGGAGGGTTTGATTACGTAAAAGCTTGAAGAAAAATCTAAAATAGTAAAACCAGTTACGGGTCCAAAAAAATTATTATCGAGGTATAATACAATAACGGGTTAATAGTTAGACATACTAAAATCATATGATCGAATGAATCAAAATGTTAAATTTTGTACACTTAATGCAACATATTGTACAATGGATTTCATTTTTAGATTCGACCCAGTTTTAGTACGAATTGAGCTTTGATTGCTACTCTTGAACCCGCATGTATCTTGGTTACGAAATGGCTAGCCAAAATCGGCAAGTTTGATCGCATCTCTCTTACAAATGAGAAGAATCGTGCTTTATTTACAAGTTTTTCCTTATTTTCATCTTTTATTTTTGAAGTGTATATGAATCTGTTACAAAGTCTCGTATTTATGTTGCTTTGAAATTAATCGGCTCACATAACGGATTGGATATCCAGGTTAATAAAAAAACTTCTCTGTATTTGTTGTGGTGTGTCTTGTTGCAGATCTGCTCGACATGAATTTGTGGATGAATGTAGTGAATTGAATGAGTAATAATAAATTCTTCTACTTATTTTCATGACAAATTTTTAAGATTTTTAATTCTAATTTTTTTTTATGTTAGTAAGAGACAGTTTATTAAATGTTTACTCAGTAAGTATTTATTGGGTAATTTTTTTTATCGGATGAACATGACAAGGGTCAAAATTCTTACCTGATAATAGTAATGATAAAGATGAAAAGTCTTACTCGGTAAGTGAGGGTGATGACTCTTACCCAAGTAAATTGTTGCATATGATATCATTTTGATGTACTACAATCTTACCCAGTAAAATAAATTACAGTGTTGACTCCTAACATAAGCGCTTACCGAATAAGCATTTAGATAAACGGCCCTATGATAATTTTTGTAAATGTCATTACCTTATTAAACATAATCACGTCTGATATTTATGACATTATAAAATCCGAAAAAGTTAATCTAAAAACATATGTTTAATCATGCTTTTAAATGGCAACAAAGTTTATGACTGATGTTAATGACGTCATAAAACCAAATGCAAATAAAAAAATTCTTCAAAAAAATAATCATGTTGTAAAATTTATTGTTAGAAAAGTTGTAACGAATTTTCCGTCAATTTTAGTAAAATATCATCTGAAAGATATATTACAACACTTCAAGTTTTACGTTTGTATAATTTTAAGATTTCTCCTTATTCTTAATAGAAATGGGAAGAAATCGTTCAAATGGAAGAAAAGGGGGAATAAAATATGGCAACTTGTTGGGGTTGGCGAGTTCGAATTAGAGATGGCCAAAATTTAGTATTGTGCCAGGCTGGGTCAAACCCAAAACGGACCCCATCCAAGATTTTTCATTTATAACCAGTCCCCGACCCGGTTCTGACCAAAAACACCCGGGGCGTTCTCTATGTACAAATCCCGGCCCTCAGGGCTGGTCTCGGGACCGCCAAATATGTCCTAAATGTTCCCTCCAAAAATCAACTTTAAACATAAAAAAGCTTGTTTAAAGGTTTTTTGTGTATAATATCTTATTGAAATATACTTTAAAATTTCGAATTGGGTCATTTAAATACACTTTAAATCTTTTTCACACAAAAAAATTATAAATGTTTCTATAATTACAAATTTTGAAGTTTAGTATTGTAATACTTAAAAAACTTCAAAAAGAATTAGAAAAACTAAAAAAAAATTGAAAATCTTGTTGAAATCTTGAAACACTTGATATATAATTTATAAAAACTTAAACATTTAAAAAAATCGGGCCTATGTATAACCGGTCCTGGTCCCATTACCGGTCTCCAGCGGGGCTGGGCCTTGAGTTTTCATAAAACCCGTAACTGGTCTCAGACTGTCGGTCAATAACCGGTCCTGACCGGTGCCAGGTTGGGCACAGACCCATTTTGGCCATGTCTAGTTCAGATGCAACGATTGAGAGCTCACTTGAGAAACAAAAAGGTTGAACACATTTTCCAGTTTACTCCTCTTTATTGTCAAGAGGAGGTTGTCAATTTGAGATATAAAGGACACCAGGAAGCATTCAGTAGTAACATGATAAGCTAAACAAAGGCGACATTCGCGACCTAAACCAGCTATGCAGGGTCCCATGGTGTGAGTCACAAAGATGAAATGACCAGCGACCATTGGTCCTAAGGTTCAACATGACTTAAAGCCGCAACCCTGAGTCGACAGCATAGGGCACGTAGAAGTTTAGGGATCACGAGGTGCAACTTGCACACCACGCACATCGCGACCAGGCAACGCAAGCCCACTGTTTGATAGGTCGCACAGACTGATGTTTGACCAAGAAGAAGGATTTTTCCATGATCTCATGCATAGTTAAGTTGTACAAGTATTGTATAGATAATACAAAGTACTTAAAACACATGAATGGTGTTTGTATAGTTTGTACGCCAGTGGGAATTAAGGAGCTTACATTAATTCAGGCAAGTTTCTATTACACTTACAAAACGAGATGCATATAGAGGAATGACATGCTGATCAATGAGAATCAGTATTTTATTGTATGATAACCAGTAAGGATCAACTTGGTACATGTTTCCGGTTTATAATTCATGTATATGTTGGTTGAACTGGAGTTATGCATGTTATGTGTTTTAAAACACTTTAAAAAGAAAATCTTTATTTATCTTCATATTTTAAGTCACCTTTACATGCATAAAACTGTTAAAGCTTAGATTATGATGATACAAGTAATTACATAATTAAAGGTAGATAAAGGTGTGTAAATGCATCGAGATGAGGTCGCTCTACTCACATTCTCATCGATATTCACACATACACATATACATATATATATATATATATATATAGAGAGAGAGAGAGAGAGAGAGATAACCACTTTAATATGTACTGTTCGCTTGTAAAACAATACATACAAAACATATATTGTTACTTTATATGTATGAAACAGATAGATTGTGTGACATGTGAACAAAACCTCGTATACACCTAAGCATGAATGACAATATCATCTTAACATTTTTCAATTATAATTTTAAATAAAAGATTTTCTTAATTATAAAAAACTAATTAATTAATTTATATTTTAATTCAATCTTAATAAACTTACATTACATGACATACCATATATAAAAGTTTGAAACATGTATGAGCAAATTTGGAAATTAATCAAGTCCATAAAATAATGTGTAAAAATTGTTTTTACAAAACATGAAAATCATAATTAAAAAAGAAAAAGACATTTTTTTTTCAAATTCATATAGAAAAATATATTTTTAATCCAATAAATAATCAGAAAAAATATATTCTTTCAATATAAATATTTATAGTTTTTTAATATAAATCTTTTGGTTCACATTTAACAAAAATATGTGAGGCGAGGCGGGGCCCGGGGGTTGATCCTGCCCCTCTCTTGGTTTGCTTCAGTCGTTG